GCGGGGTCAGCTACTATATATATATATCTGTGCGCGCGCGCGCGTGTGCGCATATTCCCTTACATAAGTTACCATGTTCAAATCTTGCAGCTAAGCAAACACTATAATTAGCATAATTTTGTATGACTCTTAGGTTCGACATTATGCCTCAGCTTGATACACTACAAAAATTAGTCATATTTAGACAACCTCATGACAAGATTGTTCATTTTTCTATATTATTTTTATAAGCATAAAAAAGTGAAAGAGTAATAAATATAATGTCATAAAAAATTTTGAAGCCCGATACCTTCTTTTTTACCTCGTGGCCTTTATGGTAACAGATTTAGAGCAGGATTTTACCTGGATTTAACCTAAATCTTGTACGAATTTTGGAGCTAAATCTATTTTCGATTGCATGAGTTTGGAACTTGAACCACACATGATCTTTTTAAGTAACTTGGGGTAGACGAGATTGCGGTTTTAATGACAAAGATATATGGTACTTATTATACTTGTGACACATTGCGCTGAAGTTCAGCGTGGTATTTTACCAATGGATGTTTTTTGGTTTATTGTGGTTATATGACTTAAATATAACTCAGCAAAGTCTAATACCTATGTGTTAAAAAGCAATGGGAGGAGAATTATTTAAAAACCCATCAAGCTAAAATTAGTTCATACGTGTTGTAAGAATTTAGTGCTACTAATGAACTCAAGAAATCACCAAATATAACAGTGAAAAGACATGTTAGAAAGTATGGCTGTTCCTTAGTATCTAAGACAAGTGCCGATTGATTTCAGAAGCCTATACGTGATGAACTTCATGATGAATTACCTGTACTAATAATCATACATTGCACTATTGATTTGAGTTCTAGATTATCATTACCTAATTTTCCATATTATAATTTGAATCCAGCTAATGCAAGATTTTAGTGGGTATTTTTCTGCCTTTGATGGCGCTGCGGTATTCAATGATGTCGAGTATTTTAGACGCAGTAGAGAGTAAGTATGATCAGCCTATGTGTGAGATGGTGGCTTGGCTTAGTTCTTGCAAGAGGGATGTGGATGGGGTGCAGATAATGAAGAGGGTAAGGATAATTATGATGACATTGTAACTTCATTAAAGAATAACGAGATAATCACAAGATTTAGGGTGGTGATGATCTCCAAATCAACTCTAATCAATCCTCAAAGTCTTGCAAACAAACAAACATCAAATTGTTTTATTCACGAGTAATCATGGCTACATATGGTGGTCAATCTTTGGTAGATATGAAATTATTTTGGTTAATTACAATCTATAAGGGTTGAATCTGAAGCAACTAATTTCCATTTATTGGATACAAGGAAAGAGTGGAAAGAGTGATATTGGAATATGCAAGTAATGTTTTGCAATAATGCAAGTTTTGGTCAATCTTTATTTGGAAGGAGAGTGTCACCATTTGAGCACGAGGTGGTTTATCTTGAAGGATAGAACCAACCATACCTTGTAAGGAAAGTGGAGTGGTTCTTGAGTGATTTAGATCGTGGACTTTAATCATGTGATTTATCATAATTGATCTAGATTATATCATCTTTAAAAATTGAAGGAGGTTTTGATCGTTTAGGTAGGGTTTGGACATCCATCCTTCCCTTTTGTTCACATGGTCTTGATCCTATTCATGTTATCAAACTACATGCGTTTGTTTTATTTTGGTCATTTTGCTATTTCGTATGTTCCACAATTAAGAATTCTATTCTATAGAGTTAAATTTGTTGTTTTCATAACAAATATCTTCCTTGAATCGACAAGGTTTTGAAAGAGCATTACCCTATATTGAATGAATTTAAGCTTTAACAAATGGGTTACTTTGAACATATTTATTATGTTTACCCATTATTGAAGAGTTACAACAACATAAAGATCATGCTTACCATTTGTATTTTGAGGGGAAGTTGAGCGGCTTTCGAGTAGGTTCAATGGATGGAGAATCAGGTTTTGAAAAGAGATTAGGGGTAAGCCAATTAGCGACTTTTTGTGAAATAAAAAGTTTTCTTAAGATAAGTATTTTGTAAGATCGGATTTTGGTAGTGCTAGGGAAGGTTTTATCTATTAGGTTTTATTTAAGTTTGTGATAGTGTAGAGGTGGATGGGCATGATTGAATACTTGATCCACATTTTGGTTTTTGAACTTTTAACATCATGATTTGTAGCATCTTTAATTTGATCGGAAGCATGATTTGGTGTGTCAAATTTATGATTCAATATTTATTCTTCAATGTCCAAATGATGTTGTGGCACATTTTGGGGTAACATGTATATATAAAATAAAGGTTAAAAGGATAAAATTTGGAAGTGGTGTATTGCTATTTCTACCAACAACAACAACAAAGCCTTAATCCCACTACGCGGGGTCAGCTACATGAATCCTTTTCTCCATTACGCCCTATTTAGTGTCATTTTTCATTGATTGTTATTTCTCCCAATCAATGAAAAATATGAAGCAAGTTTTTACCTATAGAAGCGCTCCACAAATTGATACCGTTGATGATTGTGTGATGTATTTACTTCTCAAATCTTTTAGGGATTAATTCTAATATCAAATGATGTAAGATTGTTGTAGATATTTTAACGTTTTTTTGAGATAGTTGGTATTCGAACATATTGATTAGTATGTTTGGACTTGATAGAGAATAGTTGTGGATGGACTATATGTGATGGTGGAGGTTTGGATGAGAGCTTGCAAGAGAGATGGAGAAGATGGGTTGCAAATATTTTAGTGGGAAAGGATGCATGTGATTGCCTTGTAATCTTATCAAAAATGTACTTTACACAAAGTTGCAAGACAACCAATTAGATTAAAAAGCATAAAGAAAGGAATTTAAGATGGAAATGATCATCCTACTACAAGGGAAGAACAAAATGATGTTATCAATAAGTAATTCTGTAAGAAAAGAAGTGACTAGGAAAGCTCAAATTATTTATTTTTTAATGAGTATACAACAACAACAACAACAAACCTTTATCCCACTAAATGGGGTCTGCAACATGAATCATTTTTCTCAATTGCGTCCTATCGAGTGTCATATTTTTATTTAATGTTAATAAATTAATATCATTTTTATACAATATGCCAAAGTCTTTCTTGTTCTACCTCTGTCTTTCTTAACATAAGTATCTACTCTCCTAATCGGATCATCGGATGGCCGACGTTTAATGTGACCAAACCATCTTAGACGACTCTCTCTAATTTTGTCCGTCACTATAGCTACATCAACCCTATCATAGCTATATTCATTTCGTATTTTGTCTCTAAGTGAAAAGTCACTCATCCACCTAATCATCCTAATCATTCTTATCCACCTAATCATTCTTATCTCGACAACACTTAACTTAGCTTTATGCTTCTCTTTTAAAGGCCAACATTCAGCTCTTGTAGGTCTCATCACCTTCTTATAAAATTTTTCTTTCAGTCTAAGAGTTACTTTTCTATCACACAATATACCATTCCTCCACTTCAACCAACCAAAATTGCGTTGAAATAATAAAAACAAAAAATCATTACAACAACAAACACAAAAGAATTGCCCCTAGCTATGTAACTACCCAAACTCTCACCCAACGAGTTATTGTCTATTTTGGCTTAATGATCTTATGGTTTTGTTTCATTGATGCAACTTCCTACAAGCACATTAACTTTGGAGTTTCTTATAAAATTCCAACTGTTACATCAAAATGTGTCTTAATATTTAAGTTCTTAGCTTCATTTTACTTACGGATTTTATAAACAATTCACCTTTTTATCATTCAGGGATTGATGATTGATGTGCAGTGAGCAATTCGTGGGCTCTTCTTTTCTTTTTTGGATATTGATTTGTGGCATAGGTATTTTCTTATATGCAATGAGTTTGTGCCATTTAATTTTTCTTATCTAGCTATGCTGCCGGTCTTTCTTTAGTAGATAGCCTCCAACAAATTCTATGATTTTATAGCTTCTATTTATAGAACGTGAAGATAAATAACTTAGATAAATCTTATTATTGTGGCCTTTGTTAAATATGAAATTATTGGAGCCAGTTACTATGCATTATAAGAATTAATGTCATGTTCTGGCTACTTATTATGTTTAAGGAAGAAGAGTGACATTAAAATAAATCAAATAATGTAATGTAATAATGTAAGCTTTGGATTTGCTTTATTTGCAAAGATAGTGTCACTAATTTGAGCTCATGCTGCTTCATCCTGAAGGGGTATTATTAGCCATGCCTTAAAGGAAGGTGGAGTGGTTATTGAATAAGCACATAGAAAGTCTTGAATTGGAGGTTCTGACAATGGATGCTTTCCATTTGTTTGGGGTTGCTATAATTGATCTTGATTATATTATGTTTAAATTTTGAAGGTGGCCGACCATGTAAATTGGTTTTGAAGATCCAACCTCCATTGAATTCATATTCTCGGTATTAATCCTCTTCATGTCATTGATCTTCATGCTTTTGCTTGATTTTAACATTTGTGCTATATCTGTAGCTAAACATGCTAAAGCTTAAAAGACATGTAGATTATTTTTCTAATGGAGGTTTGTTAGAGAGAGTATGAGCCCTTGTGGGTAACCTGCAATACTAACAACTAAGAAAGATGATTGTTGACAGTGCGTGTGGGTAGTAAATCAATCAATAGGGGTGTCATCAAATATTAGTTTTTTATACCTAGAGGTTGGCTGATGTGATGACTAGCGCCATTATGTTTTCAAAACTTGTTATGAAAAGTGATTTTCAAGTTAGAACAAGCGTGTGAAGTTTGCTTTTTTTACTAAAGATGGAATGTAAGAATGGTTGGTCTGACTTTTGGATTTACTAATGCTTCAGGTAATGCATTGAATACTTTTATGAAAATTGTGAATCTTATTCTTCTTTTTTTCCATTAAAATAGTTTTTTATGTACTTTGGCGATATTTTATCTTATTGAACCACATGATCATTCGGTGCATATTACAGAAGTCTACAAAGCATTGAAGATTTATAAGTTATATTTAAACTTTAATAAGTTATGTATTATCAAATCAATCATTATATTTTTGGAATTTTCTGTCTTTGTGGACTATGGTTAGTCTTAATAAAGGCACCATAATTAATAATTGGCCATCATCTACTACTAATTTTATATGTATTTCAATGTTTTCATGTTTTGAATATGTTTAATAGATGACTTATTAAAGACTTTAGTATTGTGTTGGCACTAATCATCAACTCTGTTAAAAGAGAAATTGATTTCCAAATCTACTTGCTTTTAAGAATATCAACGAGAAGCTTACAAATGTATTTCTGTTTAATGGGTTTTCAAAATTTAAGATTAGAATTTTTAAATATTAGGGTACACTCAGATCAAGAATTTAAGTGTTTTTTTAATATTTCAACAAATATTTTGATCAAAGTGTTCAAGTCCCTTCGTTAGATATAACTCGAGTAGGAACACCCCTTAATCTCCTGATTTAATTCTCATTAATACTAGAATTGTACAATTCATCTCAAATTACTAATCTGAGGTCAGATCTTCATGAAATTAATAGTTCACTCATGAAATTCGGTTAGCTGAACCCTTAAATAATATTAATTATATTATTATTATGAATATAAAATTTCAAGGTTAATTTAGTGAAGCTTTTAATCTTTTGACTTATTAGAAAAATTTATCAGTATCAATTTTTAATTTGAGTTTAATCTCAAATTTCTCCTCTTATGTTAAATTTTTTTTAAGCATGAATCTTTTTTTATTATTTTTTTCTTTTTCTTTTCATTTTCAAGTAGGATTACTATATCTAGTTAAGTCTTTTTTTTTAATGGTTTTTAATATTAACCCTATCCTAAATCAAATTTTTATTTACATCCTAACTTTTCCTAAAAATATTTAAGTCAATCAATACTAATTTAGAATCAAATCCATTAAGTGAGTATGACGAAATTTTATAGTGCCGAGGTATTAATTTTATAAATATTCTTTTCTCGAATTAAGAACTTATGAAAAATCGCATTGATTAGGTATTAATAGAGTTATAAATCAGGTAATAGTAAGTTGCTAACCCTACTAACAGTTTCAGAAATACTTGTTGCTGTTGTTTAAAATTTTTTGCTTATTATTAAAGGCCACCTATATCTTTTCTGCCTTTTGCCCCTATTTTTATGTAAATTCAAAATTTAAATTTCTATTTTATATTAAGGGGCAATTTTACACATGTATAGTCCCCCCAAACCTGTTTTACACTGAAATCACGAAACATGCAATCAATACTTGAACATAATTATGGGCATTGAAACCTATGTGGGGACACAACATGAACATTGTGCTGCCATATTTAAGATATCATGGATAGAAACAACGAGCCTACATGGTAGTCACAAGTAATAGAATCAATAGATGAGTTTATCATAGCACATCACTAACGAAAAACTTCAACATACAGATGTTATATAGAAATTTGCAAGGTTCAACATCAAAATCAGAAAACATGTTTATATAAATAACATTCATCACATCTAGGGCATCACATCATATGTCCATAAGTACAATCATAGCTTCTTAAGAAAATATAACATAGGGAAAGGGAAAACCATTGCTATGAAGAAATCACAGGTAAGCTGTCATAACATTTAAAATCAAACATCTCCATCCTCATCATCATTATCATCATGATCCATGTGCTCGTCCGGATCTCAGTACACCTCAAAAGGTGGAGCAGTGGGGAATTGCACTGGATCAGGCTCGACAGTTCACCCTTGACGACGGAACAACCCCTATTTGCGTCAAAATACCGATGCATATAACTATGCTGACGTTGATGCTAGACTGCATATTGATCTGAATGTTGATGTAGTTCATGCAACTCCTACTGCTTGATTGTTGAGTCTTGGAAAGGTGTTAAGGTGCTTCAAAATTGCAGACAAAACAATAGAGAACTTAGTTCTAGGTTGCGAGGAACTGGATTGCGAAGTACTGGGTTTGGTGGAACTCTCTCATTTCGCACAATCAGTTTTGTTATTCCTATGTAATTGATTTTTTAGTAATTGGTCTCGAAGGTCTCAGTTGCTCCACCCGCTTCTCATATTTCACACTGGCTCTAATGCATAAGGTAAATATCACCGCTGGGTGTCCAAACCCTATATTTGACCCTCCTTTAAGAATATTGCTAATAGAGGTGCTGATGATCTTGCCTATGTCAATAGTTTTCTCCACCTGAATGCTGTGGATTAACACTGATCTCTCCCTCGTGACTTAGCTAAGGTTGCTGGTTGCATGAGTTTAGCATAAATGAAATAATGACAAGCTTTGGATTCATCATTCAATACAGTTGCAGAGAACTTTACCCTCCCTTGCTCTCTCATCCTCCACTCCCATTACCTATCGGTAAGGAGTTCAATAATTTCGGAGAGGCGGATTCATTAGTAGGAAATCCACAATGAAAATCTTCTGGGATATCGAAAATATCAAAAAAAAGAATTAATTATTGGAGAACTAAAATTTACCTGCTTGCTCTGCACGAAGACCTTTTCATCGTTATTCTACTTTAAATTAACATAGAATTTTCATACCATTGGAATCGCAACCACCCCAGTCTTATAGCAAAGCCTCTCCCAACCACTCCCAGGGGTAAAAAATTCTCTACTAAATCAATTTTTCGACATTAACGATTTGTTGTATCAGGTTAATGCTTCTAGGTTGACGAATTTCTTAGAATCAGTGGTTTGTGGTCCTTTTCCTCCCTTAGTTTTAAGAGCCATAATCAAGCTAGAAGGGAAGAATAGTAACTCGAATGAAGAAGCAAAGCTCAAAGTTAATATTTGAAAGAATTATGAATCAAGGAGGAGATTCTTACGATTGGTAGGGAGAAATTTTAGGGTCTGTTTGTGACAGTTGTAGATCATCAACTGCAACTTAGCTGAATCAGGAAACTGTTGTGGGGAAACTGACTGATTGTTTATTTTTTACAGTTTGAAAACTGTTATGTGACAGCTGTTTCTGAATAAATGAACATTCTGTCTCTGCGCAGTAATGCTGTTTAAAACAGAACTGTTATAACGATATAGTTGATACTTGAGAAGCAAAAAATAACTTCAAAAAAGTTGAAAAAAATAAGATTCACACCTCATATAACATTGAATACTAAATGTACTATAAAAAGAAAAAAAAATAGGAAAATCACATTTAAAAAAATAATAATATTAATTTTAAATTCTAGTCGACGTATGTCCCGAACTACGTCGTCCTCCAGGGATGCCTTACAACCCTGATCACTATCGGCAGCGGAATCTGCGGGCTGTCTACCCACTAGAAGAAGTCACACTTCTCCGGACCAGCTGCCCATTGCAGACATTTGTAGAACTTTCTCCCATAGCTATGTACACAAGGTGATGTAAGGAAGATTGTAGTCCGCAGTGACAAAGCATTCGTCTGGAAGTCCCTGAAATCTTGGAGCTCATCATTCCTGAATAATTAAAAAGACAATCCATTAGTCATAACAAAAGATGAAATTGCTAAAAAAATAATTAATTACAGTTATCAGCATGCGTGAGGTCTCATAGAACTTAGCACACCAACCAACGAATCTGTCATTACAAAAAAACGGTAAACCTTATATAAACATGAGTTTTTGGTTGCCCAACATAAAACGAACCTCCGGTGTGTCATATGTGCATATCACTAAAAAGGCCATTCTAAAGAACCTCATAAACCGATATACAAAGAAGAGAGCAAATTAGTTATCTTCATTAGGATTTTACATGTAACGTTAAACAACAGCGCCCAACAGACCATCCAGAAGAACCCATAAAAGTCAAATGTCTTCTCACTAACATTTCATACCAACCCAAAAAAAACATGAAATGCAAATGGGAAAAATATAACCCGTAGAAATAGTGTAAAAAGTTCAAACCATGCATATAAAATGTAAAGCACAAATTACTTTAAATAAAAGAAATATACTACTGAATGTTCAATGTATAACATTGAAAAAATTACAAATACTCATATTAGCCTCCTACATGAGGTTGATACTAGCACTTAGATCTTATTAGGCTTTTCTGAAGAACTTTATTTCTATCGTACCGAGAATGATAAAATTACCATGGTTTTTAAGTTTTTGAGGAAGTTTCTTTTGAAGAATTGCATTACATTCCTCTCTCAGGATTACAGTCTCAGAGTGCATTGTTTTATTTTCCCATTGAGAGTATCTCTCATAAATTTAACAAAACTTGATATCCGCTCTAAGGCCTTGACAAAATAAATGTTGATTTTGAAGTTTTTAAGTACTTTCAAAAATCTAGAGAACTTTTGACAAGCTTTATGTTTTTGAAGTCTCTGGGACAAGTGTGGCAGTGGTCTCTCTTGTTTCTTTGTAAGTGATGAGTCAAGTTTTTCTAAGTCCTGAATCAATTTTTAAACTCAGGGTTATCTTTTCCTTCTTTAA